TTAACCATCCAAATAATAAATAAGCTTCTCTGTCTATAGTTGACCCAATTAACAAAGAATATATTTAAATTTAGGAAAAGAAAATTTGTATTGATGACCTATTTCCAATTTTTTCTTTCACTTAACATGTGAGGGTTTTCTGGTTGAGCTGAATCTTTTTGTGATTTCCTCTGTCCTTTACTGGGTGGGAAGACAGAATCTGCTGTGATTTATATTCAATACTGCTAATTTGTAATCTGGACAAAGTGACAGATCCATGCTACCACATCCCCTTGGGCACTTGAAAAGTGATGTCATAGCATTTAACAGGGACTAGAACCTGCCAGGTTTCCACACAGTGATAATTTTCATTTAATATAAAGTAGCAAAAGTCACAGAGAGATGAACAACTGAACTGAAGTGTGAAGGTTTTCATTTTCACACGAGGGTTTCTTTCCATTTCCTATTTTAGCTAGCTTTTTTTGTGTAACTGGCTTAGGAAGCCTGTGGAAATCAAACAGTTTGGAATTAATATGGTTTTTACTGCAAGATGAGAATGTTGACTTCATTATAGGCCCCAGGTATGCGGAAGACGATCCTCGGTAGGACAGTATCCAATACGCTTCATTTCCATGAAAATTCAAATATAAGAAGATGGTATTTGGAAGACTAGTTTTGACAGGAAAAAAATATACACTTTGGCTGCAAAGGTTAGTTTGATGCTGGAACATGATACTAAGAGGAATTTTGAATCTTCTTTATTCGTTAGACTTTAAAAATGTTCAATTTATTACCTCAGGGCTCAGTATCAAATTAAAGTAGATAAATGGTGACTTTAATAATAGCCATCAGTCTGGAGTTTTTTTGATTTGGTTTCTCTGGAAAGAGGAAGCATGGATTAGGTTATCTCTGAATGTGTGTTTTAGACGTTTCAGTGAGCAGAATGCTGTGGTTAGGATAGGAAGATCAAAGTCACGTGAGCAGATAATCTAACAGCTTTAGTGAGTGTTGAAGACTGAGGTGGTGGAATGAGGAAAAGGCCAGCCACTCGAAAGCTGGAGAAAACAGGTAGCCAGCAAAGCCTGTGTAGGAACTTAAAAAGTCATTTGGGTAAGGGTGTTCAGAATAAAATAAATGGGCAGTGGCTCTGTTCATAAACAAAAAAGTTATTTCAGATATGCATGTGTAGGCAACTAGAGTAGATTGCTGCCCGTGATCGTGATGTTATGAGAATATAATAGTAAATCAGTATGTAAACTTGAATGTATTGAACGTGACAAATTTCACAAGAATTTTAATGTAAAATTAAATGGCGCATTTCTTTTAAGCTGGAATATGGTGTGAGAAGGTAATAAACAACCAGAAAGTGCATACATCTAATGGACAGGCAAGGAGAGAGATACTAATACTGAGCAGTTGAACATAGTTGGAGCCAAAGGGCCTGGGAAAAAGGTAAAATACATAAACAAACAGTGCCCCCGGTAAATGTGCCTACAGTAACAAGCCACAGAGACATCTTTCTTATGTTTCACATCTTTGAAGAAAGAATTCCAATGTCCAACACATCTGATATGTATTGTACTTAATACTGGGTAACAAATGTATGACAAGGGAGGGCCATTAACTAGTTTCTGTAAGGAGCGCTATCCTCTCAAACTGAGATATGCCATGGGCGTTTCCCTACGTAAAATTAGCTGGATTGTGCAGATTTCAACAACAGCTGTAGATTTTAAATTTTGGTTCTGAGAAAGTTTTTCTTTCAAGTATCTAATGGCGTTGCTACCTGCTCAGCTTAATTTAGCTGTTCGTTAATATAAATAGTTTTATTACTGTAGCTATGGAGGAACCTGGAAAGGAGACTTTATACCCAAATATTTAAAATTATTTATTTACTCTGCTTAGAGAAATGTGGACTGGTGTCCCCTTGGAGGAGAGGTGTAGAGGGCCCTTTCTGTCATAATGGTGTTGTTGGACATTTTTGGCGTGACCCGGCGGGCAGTGAGTGGAGGGGTGGGCAGGAAGGCAGGAAAATTTTCAAGGACTTCCCAAAGCAGATCTTCTCAGCATGAGTTTGTTATTTAGTGAGAAGTGTTACAGATTCCCATCGCTTCACACCTAAACATAGGAGGTATAAATATGAGTTATTTATAGCCCTAAATTTGTTTTTGGGCAATTACAATATCAAAAATTAAATTCCTGCTCCCCAGTGATAGTTGGCATTTCACTACAGAGATTTTTACGTGGTTATTGAGGATCATTGGGCATTTAAGAAAACAAGAATTGTTTGAGAAACATGGTAGTATTTAAGATAGTAAGAGTGATAGCGAACCAAGTGGGCTCACCTCCTGGTGAGTTAAATAAGACTGTACAGCAGCGGAAGTTGTCTCACAAAGTAAAATGTATTTGCAGCAAATAGGAGGCAACGACGAATCATTTCCAAAGTCATGGCTTCCTCCGAACAAAGGAAAGCAGGAACTCTTATTTGGTTGGGGAATGAATATTCAAAAGGGAGAAGCGAGTATTGGCTTGCACAGGCTCAGTTGGAGAACATGCTTCCACATAATGAGGCCTAAGCTCCTCCTGGAGAGATCTTGCATTAAAAATAAGGCAAAGGTAATGGGCATAGCTCTTGTGGTGAGGTTTGGTCAGTTTCAGGATGGCTGGTGGTTACATCTCTGTTGAGTGCCTTGCTTGGTCAGTTTCAGGACAGCTGGTGGTTACATCTCCTTAACATACAAGAGGAAAAGAAACAACCTGGAAAAACAGTTAATTGCTTCCAAACCCACCTTTTGAGTTTCCCAAGGCACCTAGTTGGTGACAAGAGCAGGCTAAATGTATTTTTTTATAGACAGTGTATGTTAGAATCTTGAAATATCAGTCTTTGTAGTGCACGGAGCAGATGTTTTTATCTAACAGCTTTTTGAGTAACTTGACCTCTGTAGATGGCTTCCTGGTCTGTATGGTGGTGGTGGTACGTCATCTGGCCTGTGCCAGTCTGTTTGATTGCAACGCCCACCGTTTTCTCAGTTGCTATATCTGTTCCAGCCCCACGGCCTTGCTTTTCCTTGAACAGACCTAATTTGTTTCCAACTCAGGGCTTTTCCATTTGCCTTTTGTGTGCTGCTCCCCTCTGCCTGGAAACACTCTTTCCCCAGCCATCCACTGGCCTATGCCCTCCCTTCATTTAGATCTCTTCTCACACCACCGCATCAGGGAAGCTCTGCCTGATACCTCACCTGAGATAGCCCTTCTCTCCTTGTAACTGAACTCAGTGGGTTCCTCTTGTGGCCAGTGTGGAGCTGAAAAGCACAACCAAGGCAGAAGTAGGTGAAGAAGAGGTTTATTGCCTGCACAAACAATGGAGAACACTGGGGATAGCTCCCCAAACAGTGTCTCCAGTGCCGGTGGAGACTTTATACACAAGAGCGTAGAAGATAACAGGTTTATTTGTATCAACTGTGTAACAACTATATTCTTTTAAGGCACATGTGTAGCAGGTAAACATGTTATTACATACATCACAGGATCTAAAAATGGCTGTTTGAACCCTCCCAGAGGAGGAGAATTTAAGATACTCATGAGTTAAGGTAACTTGAAAAAGGGTGCTTGAACAATTGGAGGGAGTCTTTCTGCAAACATGTGAGTTTCTCTTCAAAACAGCAACATCTGCAAAACCGGGACATCAATTTCTGCAAAACAGAACACATACTTTCTCTGACTGAAAAACACTGGACAGACTATGTTAGTTAACTAGATCTTCAGTAACCCTTTGTTTGCCTGGCTCCCTGGTCACATCCTCACTGTGTGTCCTCCTACTCTGCTTTGGTTGTCTTCAAGGCTTATCTTTACCTGAAGTTATATTCTACGCTTGTTTACTCTTAAGTGTTATGACATTAGGCTTTATCCTTCTCATTTGCTGAAAGATTCCCAGTGCCTTAAGCAGTATCTGGCACGTGGTAGGGACTCAGTAAGTATTTGTTGAGTGAATAAATGATTGTCCAAATGTGTCATGAAAATACATATCTTATTAGGCTGGTTGTGCTTTATTTTATAAAATAAAATTTTGGAAATCAGGAATCTGTTTTTCCCCACCTCAAGTCTACAAAGTTGAATTTATAGTCTGTGTATTTGTGTTACTTGGTGTTGGAGATCTGGAGTGCTAATCACTCATTCCTTCTCCTCTCCTCTCTGGATTGCAACTGAATATAAACAAAAAATGAGTGTGGGATAAAGACTGGTATATGTTTTATTAAACTGAGCAAGTACCCAGTACCCTACAAGACAGGGGTTTTAGGGAAGCTGGATTCGAAGCGACCTGTATTCAGGAATGTCCAATGGACAGCCTGCTCCTTTGGCAGTTACTCTCCTCCCCCAAATTGAAAGTTGAGTAGATCTGGCCAGGAGGGCTTATGGCGTGAAACAGAAAGTAGAGCGCCCACTGTCCTTCGCACCAAGCCAGGAGCAGACCATGTAAAGACAAAATGGAACTTGTTATGTGCATCCACTAGTTAAAATGTGAAATTGTGGCTCAATGGATATCAGATTCCACTGGTTAGATCAGCAAATTCTCATCGTATGGAAATGATTCAGCAAGCAGGTGGAGAGAGAAATTGAAAGGATTGCTCCAGCTCCGCCCCTTTAATTGGGGAACCAAGCCATACTACCTTGTCTGTGGAAAAAGGGGATGAATTGCAATTATGGTTATCCTCTGAACAATTGCAATTTAACACATATATTCAAAAATATATATACAAAGAAATAATTTGGACCAGAAAAGAGCCATCAGCACAGGTTGTTTCTGGGAGTTGATTACAATTGTGAGTCATCCAGACATCTGCCAAATGAAATAGTAGGCTCTATTTGTCCTTATGTTTAAGGGGAAGAATGGATGTTAATCCAGCATCTATTTAACACCTGTTAATAAGAAAGGTATACACTTAGGAGAAAATACCATGTTCTAACCTTGATAATTTTAGTATGACTGGTACTGACTTCAAATTCAGGAGCCTTTTATGTTTCAGGTTCGTGGGAGTAAGGGAGAAGTTCTGTACATTTTGGATGCTACCAACCCACGACACTCCAACTGGCTTCGCTTCGTTCATGAGGCACCATCTCAGGAGCAGAAGAATTTGGCTGCCATTCAAGTGAGCTTATTTGCTTCTTATTAGTACTATGCACTGTGAGGGGAATGAGCTAATTTGTAATTGTATACCCTGTTTTAAATTTATTTCTCAATGACCTGCTGCAGATAACAGTAACTAACTCCTAAAAGCAGAGAAATCTCATCTAGTCAGTCTGTGCAGGAAAGGGCAGGCCTAGCTGTAAATTGACACCTAGCTGTAAACAGATCACTTACTTTTGAGAATTCTTGAGGGAATGGATTACATGGTCTGATATTGTCCTTGGCAGATCTTGCTTTCAAGTCCTTTTAATGCATTCAGTGAATGTTTATTGATAGTTTTCTATTTGATGGTTTATCTGGCTCATAGCAAAATATTCTGTGTTGTTGTTTGGGAAAGGCTTCATGGAGAAAGTTTACTTGGGTATATCCTCATGACTAGACTTGTAGTTTCTTGAGGGTAGTATATTATTCAGGGGTCTCCAGAGAAACAGAACCAGTTGAATCTGTATATCTATATCTATATCTATATCTATATATCTATATCTGTGTCTGTATTTATCTATATCTATAGAGAGAGACAGAGACAGAAACAGGAACAGAGACAGACACACAGAGAGATGTATTGTAAGAAATTGGCTCATGCAGTTATGGAGGCTGGCAAGTCTAGAATCTGCAGAGCCAGTGCCCCACCTTGAGTTTAAAGGCCACAGGCTGGTGTAGTATAAGGAAGAGCTGATGTTCTGGTTTGAGACTGAGGACTGGACGGCTGCTGTAGACCAGGAAGAGTTTCAAAAGCTGTCCCACTTCAAAAGCTGTCAGGCTGGGAGAGCAGATGTTCCAGTTTGAAGGCCATAGGCAGGAGAATTCTCTCTTACTCGGGGGAGGGTCACCCTTTTGTTCTATTCAGGCCTTCAACTGATTGGACAAGGCTCACCCACATGTGGAGGACAGTCTGCTTTACTCAAGTCCATTTATTTAAATGTTAATCTCATGCGAAAACACCCTCACAGAAACACTCAAACAGCTACCTGGGCACCCTGTGGCCCAGTCAAGTTGACAAATAAAATTAATCATCCCGGGTGGGAACCATGTTTTATTGAATTCTGTATCCCTGTATCCCTAGTATAGTGCTGCACATAACATTAGGCTCTGAAACAAACTATGAATTGAACTTAGATTATCCCTCAGTAGAAATTAAGGTAAGAAGAGAAAAAGTTAAGGCAAGAAGTTTTTAGAGGGGCCCTATAATTAAAACTCATTGATCAGATGGATGATTAAGAAGAAACATTACATTCTGTCAGAGAATTGACTGATCCCATGTGAAAACCCAGCTCCTGGATCCTAAACTGCAGAAGGGAAGCAAAGCTATGGTTGGCAGAAGCAAGAGGGAAGGGAAAAGAATAAGGAAACTGACATTTCCTTGAGTATTTACCATGTACACTGTTCTAGAAGCTTCATATATATCATGTCATTTACTCATAAAAATTCTGAGAGTTTAATAATTTGCTGAGGGTTATGCTGATTTCACTCAATTCTGAGCATACAACCAACACTGGCAAGAGAGAAAAATGCACAGAATTAGGTTTTAAAGTGACCAGAAAATAGTCATCTAGAATATTCCATTTCCTGGTGTTATTTTTTGAGTACAAATAAGTATTGGATAACCAATGTGTTTACTGTCTCATTTTGTATGGATAAATGAGAGATGACTCTTACCAAAAGGCTGGGTTGGGATGGAATATAGGATCTTTTGGCAGCTAAGAGATATTCAAGCTACTTTATAGATTATTCATGACATGCATTGATCCAACCACAAATTTAAACTGATCTGTCTTTTTTGTGTTTGTGTAGACATTAAATTTTTTCCATTATATTTTTTCATGGTTTCCTGAGGCAAACTCATCTCACAGGATCTTCAGTTATGTGACAATTTTAATTTATAGACTCAATTTGAGTGTTTCTTTGTAAATGTTACCAATGTCAAAATTGCCTGTAGAATCATGGAATGTACGTTAGGTAAAGCCATTGTTTTGTAGGTTCTTCATTATTATGTTTTATAGAACGTTATTCTATTTAAACTAGATTATTTTCTCCATATGCTTAACTAATGATTTTAAGCTTTCCTGAAAATCCTTTAGTTTGAGAAATTTCTTCCTATTGGCTGTTATTTCTGAAGTATCAGTGGCTCTCTATTTGCCCAAACTTTCAAGGTGTTACATGCTCAGCTTTGGATTTTGCCTCAAACTCCCTCAGGTCATCCTTGTCTAAGAGTTCCCTTTAACTGTACATTTTGCTTCTAACGCTCCCTTGAGTTATCTAAGTGTTTATCTCCATCTCTCACTACCCGCATTTGCTACTCTGTGCTCTATTTATTTCATCATATTATAGCCACCTACACTTCTCTTTTTTAGTAACCACAATTGCTAAGACTTACACAGTTTTCATGTTCATCCTGTGCTTTCATTGTAGTGCTTTTCTTCCTCTATATCAACTGTGTTTCTTTCCTTGAAAGACAATACGAATCTACAGAAGATGACTATTGCAACTTTGGTACCCCAAGAAGTTATTGTTTGACTTCATAAGGGGAGGTAAGGTAAGGATGGGATTAGAATAGGACTCATAAACTAACCAGAGGCTCTGTGAAGTTTCACACTTGAATTTAATTAGAATCTGTGTCTGTTCAGAGGCCGCCGTGAGAGTCTTTGGTGAAGAAGTGATGACAATGCCTTTCATTCCTTTTAACACTGCCTTGGCCTTTTCTGGGAGGGGGGTCGAGTGCACTGTGACCATGTTTCTTGCCATGGAGCGCAGTATGGATCTCTGTTAGCTCCCTAGAGGTAGCGTCTTTCTTACTTGAACAGTAGCTGGAGTAGGAGATTGCTCAGAGTTCAAGATCACATCTGAGCTAGGTGCAGAGAGCGTAATAGTCTGGTCATATGGCTCATAGTGATGGCAGCCTTCTGATTGGTTGCAGTAATCTCCTGAGGTTTGCATTCCAGAAACACTGAGTTGGTAAGAGAAGATTATAATGTTTCCTGCATAACATTATGAATCACTTGCATTCCAAATTGCATCTGAAATTTGGGGTATTCAGGAAATTTTTTATTTGAGCTGTATATCCCGAGAGTGAGTAAATGAGAAACATTTGTGGCTATGTGGCTTGCTTGGTGGAAAACGTCCATACTGGGTCCAGTTTTTTTGGATGAAGGATTAAGAATTTGAGGTCTGTTTTGGCAAAGGATTGGAAGTCTTTCTTGGAGACTCGATTATATTTCTAGTTTTGCAATTTATTTGATTTTGGAAAATTTGCTTTGGAAATGATGATTTAAGTATCTGAATTATTGAAGAAGGATCTGGTAAGCAAACAGTTCTTCCCACATGCACACATTTCAGAATAATCATTTGAACTGTATGTTCAGACTTCTGAAAAATATTTCCAGCTAAACCAGAAAATTCTAAATGTGAAAGATGTGGCTTAAAATGAACCAGAAGAATTCTTAAACTCCATAAGAAATGGGTGATTCTTATTAAATGCTAACTTTGTTACACTAAAGGAAAAACATATCTTGTAATATTTAAAAAAAAATTTGACCTACTCAGTGTTTTGCAGGCTTTAAAAAATACCTGATCTTTTGGTAGAAAATTATTTGTTTAAATACAGAATTATGTCATTTAAAGTTGAAACTTTGACTCCTTTGGGCATTTCAGAGAGAGAGGGTTGTTATATCTCATTTTCTTAAGGTCATATTTCCAGTCCTATCTTCCCTGGGACTTTTCGTAATAGGTTATCAACATAAATGAAAAGTTGGCTTGGTGTCCTCAGAACAAGGAGAGTATGGAAAAACACTTGGGTCTTGGTCCACCTCATGCGGGGTGTCAGGGTGTGGGGATGGTCTAAATAAGCTAAAGGCCCTGGGCATTAGGCCAAGCTTGTGATATCAACACAGCTCCACCCCAATTCCCATGTCGATTTGGTTTTCCCATTACCAGCAGAGCTATTTTATTACATATTATTTGCTCTCCTACCTCTGCCTTGTGTGAGGATGGACAGTCTAGGGCGGTCTGTCCTGGAGTCTTTTCTGGCGACACATGATGTTTCAGTATGGCGGAGCTGGGAGATCAAATGTGGATCTCCAAAGAGAGCAGCAACTTGGATGTTTTTGAAGCACGGAGAGGACTTGCTCTGTTGTCATCAAGCCACCGAGATCCACAGGCTTATCAAATAGTGTTGATGCAGAATTTAAATAGCAGTGGTACAACCAAGCAACCAAGAAATAGAACTTTCAGAAGGATTTATCACTTATACCCAAAATTATAAATAGTTTCCTCTAATTCTGTTTCTTCTCTATTTCTGTTTTTTCCTATCAGATTTATACAAATCGTATTTATACAATATTTTCTAGAATGTGTCTGTTACAGAATAGTAAGATGCAATTGTCTAATGATTTTGTTCAATAATACCATAAAAATATCAGTTAAATAACTGAAAGATCTTGTAATGAATTATATTCCACTAAGGTACATATTTGTCTTTCATTAGGGTAAAAGTTTAAACTAAAGTAAAATTACAAGCAATTGATCCTATGAGGTGTTTTTTTGTGTGTATGAGGAAGATCAGCCCTGAGCTAACATCCATGCCAATCCTCCTCTTTTTGCTGAGGAAGACCGGCCTTAAGCTAACATCTATTGCCAATCCTCCTCCTTTTTTGCCCTTTTTCTCCCCAAAGCCCCAGTACACAGTTGTATGTCATAGTTGCACATCCTTCTAGTTGCTGTACGTGGGACACCGCCTCAGCATGGCTGGACAAGCGGTGTGTTGGTGCGCACGTGGGATCCGAACCCCGGCTGCCAGTAGTGGAGCACGCGCACTTAACCACTAAGTCATGGGGCTGGCCCCGATCCTATGAGGTTTTAAGGACCAGCCCTACTGTGGCCATACATTCCTGTGGGGAGTAGGGGAATTTTATTACTTATCAATTTATTATTTTCGTTCAGGTGTAGTTTATTGACAGGGCAAATGAG